GTTCCTCTTCATCATCAGCATTAAACTTAAAGCTTCTAGTCCGGACGTTTAAGGTTCTACACAAATCTGCTCCGTCTTGTATGTCTAATCTCATTTCCTCTGACTTTCCCTCTCAAACCCATAGTTTGGCTCCAGACAAGTTTAATTCGCTCTCGATCTCTTCCCACTCTCTCATTTGTGCCTGTTTCCACCCTGCTCTGTTATGCCTGAAGCAACATCCTACCTCAAATGCAGCACTTGAGCACCTTCTCTTCATTCGAATACCTGCTTGAAACATACGTCATTCATGAGGCCTTTCAATGATTTCACACTTAAGACTATGTGTGTGTAAATACATATTCTGTCTGCTTATCAAAACTCTGTTACACACACACACACACCCCAGATATGTGAAACAACAAAGAACTGTCAACGTTAATTTCACGTATACTTGGTTCAAGGGCCATCCTATTTTATTCTCCTCTAAATGATGATGATGACAACAACACTACTTTGTACTTCTATAGCACCTGCAATCTGTGACTCTCAAAGCTCTTTGCATTCATTTAGTCTCAAAGCGCTACAATATGAGGTAGGTATCATCATTCTAGCTTTAAAGATGGGGGAAATCTGAGACACAGAAAGGTTATGTGATTTGCCCATAATCGCACAGTAGAGTGCCAGGGAAGGGTGTTGTGTGCATAAGTGCAAGGTGAAAAGTGATGAGGAGTATAGGGAAGCCTGCATTAATAAGAGATTCCTTGTATGGCCAGTCGCTAGAGCTTACTACTAGTGAAGGAACTGTGTAGGCCTAAGCACCTCATGTTCCATGCAGATATGTCTGCATTTTGGTGGTGAGCATAGTGATATTTGCCGGATATTTATATATTTCACAAAGGGGTTGTGAGACTTAGTTAGTGGATGCTTTTAAAATCCTTCAAGATCCTTGGATGAAATGCACTGCAGAAGGGCTCAGTATTATCATCCTATTGATTTATTGCAGGAAATGTTTGGATATGCGTGATGTTTTTCACAATATTAATGAAATTAAAATAGAAATATTCAATGCGCTAGGTAGTTTCTGTTTAGTAAAGCAGGGAGGAACCACCATTATATTATGTAACTCAGTTTTAATGTTTTGACCTATAGGCCAATTTCACTTACCATAAGTTGGTAGTGGAAAACCCTGTGTGGGTTCATTCCAAAGCAGGGTTGGTACTGTTGCTGCTTCCTGGATGTAGCTTTAAGATATAGCCAGTGCTCCACGCGTAGACACCTGAATATGGATTTTGGAGCCCTAACCAATTTATAAAAATTCTGATTTTCAAAAGTGCTAAGCTCCCAGCAGCTCCCACTGACGTCAAAAGGAGCTGCTGGGTGCTCAGCACTTTTGAAAATTGGGCTCACCTATATTTAAGTGCCTATTAGGATTATAGGAACCTAACTATAGGTATCCATTTTTGAATATCTTGACTTTGGTCTGAATATGGGCTATTAAATGTATGATACAAACTGGGTTTTGAGTACTTGATGAATTTGAACCTGCTAGTAGAATATGTAATCAAGAGTCTTATTTTGTAAATCGGCAGTTTTTAAACTGTTAGGTTCTGGAAGTAACAGAGAGAGGTTGAAAAGAGGGTATGTTTCAATGTTTTAGCTGCTCTTATAATATTCTCACTCCAGCTACGTAAATAACTATCATTTTATGTGCCAACGTAAAAAGGATGCAGTGATATTTAGAGCTGCTTTAAATTTATAAGTAACAGGACTGAAAAGAATTGCTGTGACTCATTAGTTACTGCGGTGGCTGACTAATACATCTTAAAATTCATGATTTTGGGGTAGGTTAATAAATGTTTATAGTCATTAGTCAATAGCTAACAAGTTAGCATTTCAATTGAAAGATTTCTATAGAAACTTTCACTCCAGAACATTAAAATTTAACAGCCTACATTCATTTTCCCTTCACATTTTTTTTCTTGAAGTTGCTTATAAACTCTTCATTGCCTGATCTACTCTATGTACACTCCTAGATGGCCATTTAAGGCCATATTTTCAAAGGTGAATGTACAATTATGTTTGCAAAAAGATTTGCACCAACAGATCTATTATTTGCATATATTAATTCAGATTGCCTAATCCCTCAGACATGCAGGTATTTATGTGTAGTTACCCAACTTTTCTGCCCAAATGACAATTTTGCAGGCACCAGGGTGAATTTTTGTGGTTTTGAACTCTGCCTCTATTTCTGGAAAAACTTGGTCTTGCATGTACCAAACCAAAAAGTTCATATATACAATGTCTTTTTATTTTTGTTATGCTTAGGACAAGTTTGCAACACTGACAGGCAAAACAATTCCAGACATATGACTTAGCGCCATAAAACTCTTAACACAGTGTTACAGAATAAAGGCAACTTTATTAAACTTTTAACATTAGCATACCTCCACTCAAGCAATTTCCCATACATTCACCTAGTGGCCCATAGTCCTTGTTACTATCTTTGCTCATCCTTGAAGACTTGGGGGTAGTTCAGTGCCCAGCCCCCGTTGAGCGGCTGCTAAATTACAAATTACCAATTAGTCCTCTTCTCACTAGAAAATCAGGCTTGCTTCTGTATACTGCAGAGACTTGGGACATTAGGCCAAGACTTATACTGCAAGGACTTCTGCCCTGCCCTTAAGATGCAGCAAATACATGTCTATCAAACTGCTGTACTGAGCTATCTTGATTATCACTTCAAAAGTTTTTTTTCTCTTACTTAATTGGCCTCTCAGAGTTGGTAAGACAACTCCCACCTGTTCATGCTCTCTGTATGTGTGTATATATATCTCCTCAATATATATTTCACTCTATATGTATCCGAAGAAGTGGGTTGTAGCCCACGAAAGCTTTTGCTCTAATAAATTTGTTAGTCTCTAAGATGCCACAAGTACTCCTGTTCTTTTTATGTCTATCAATGATTGTCCACTGGGCTACAAACTGAAAGTGCTGCAATATCACTGTTCACCCTGCTGCCTTCACCCTGTATGAAAGTCTCTGTTGATGTGAGGAGAGTAACTTTCACCCAGCCTTCTCACCTTCGCAACATGCTCAAGAGGAAGGCAACCTCCCCCCCTCCCCCAAAACCTTTGGTGTTAAAGTCAGTGGGCAACTGGAGGAAAATGCCTTCCCAGACCTTAAAATTGTAATATCCAGTGTAGAACTTCTAGGCTACTTTAAGCAGAATCTGGATGAGCCATCTTTTGGCTCTGAAGCATGCTGTCTGTACTGCCATTGTAGTTATGAATGCTCTTGTGGCTAACTCACAGTATGGACAACACTGTTATTCTACACAATGTATGTAATAGACAGAGAAAAGCATAAACTCCAAACATCCCTGTTACAATCAGCTTGTTCCTAAAGATGTATTTTTGTTTGTTCTGTCATCAGTTCCACTATACAGTATCTAATTTATCCTGAGCTGAAAATGTTCAGGCTTCAAGAAGTTTGAAAATTTGCCTTTTTACTATCAAATAGTAATGTAGTCTATTAAACTAACAAAGAATGACCCTAAGAACATGATGTTAGTTTATATGCCATTGCCAAGGGGAGCTGATAAGATCCCAGCAGTAGAGCGGAACATTTACTACTATGTACAATTCTTCATTTTCATTATTCAGTGCAGAACAGAAAACTGGGAAATTAGTGTGCTAGCAGAGGAAAAAATACAGTACTTCAACCTAAATATTTAAATATATCTGATTTCAGAAGGCTCCTCTCTTGTCCATGTGGAGACTGTGCCTGGCATTTTGAAGGGATGGGATGTAGTGGAGGCTTAGGGAAACAAACAAACAAAAAAGTCACATTTTTCATTAAGCACCCAGAGTTCTGACTCTGACCCTTCTATATGCATTTGTCTAGCCACTGAGTCATTGAGCACATAGTATTGTGTAACTTTCATTTCTTTAGAGGCTTGTTATATTAGAAAAATTGTTCCAAAGAAAGCAACAATTATGACATAAGCACATCTGGCTCTTGCAAATTATTCTTTATTAAGCTTTCATTTAATTACATGTGCTGAAAGGTCTGCTTTTGATTACTGTAATTTTTTTTATTTGTCCATCTGAATGATAGTAATGTTGGAAATTACACACAAACCACCTGTTTTTTTTTCACTAATAAGGCAAAGTTTATACAGATTTATGTGTGGAAGAGGGATTAGGATCCTCCCCTGTTTATGGTAGAAGGATTATTGCTACTGCTAATTCAAGGTGAGGGATTAAAGGTGGTCATTAGAAGGAAACTAAAACCTGTTTGTTTTTGGTTCAGTAAACACTTTATAATGCTAGGAATATTTGACTTTAATGCACATCTTTTTCACTTAAACTTCTGAAAAGTGGAGGAAGTTGTGTGTAAATTCTATGATAATGTTTAAGGGTGTATTTGTGTCCTCATCTTTATGAGCAGGGATTTACACCAATACTTCTCATTGGTGTTAATGGGAGTTAGACTGTGTCAGGCTGGAAATAGAACCTATTGCCTAATTTACCATTAAACGATATCAAGAGAAAACATGGCAGTGCTTTTCAGTAGCACACTAATCCCAACTTCAATTCCCAATACAATTCTGCTGTTAATGGAGAGTTGCTATGCAGCTATGTAAAGACCTTAACTGTTTCATATTTTTCATGGGGGTTGGTATATTTTTGTTGTTGTTAGTAAACAGGCTTACAACATTGTCATGATTGTTTACCTACCTGGGCACAATATTTATCTGTCTGCCCTTTACCATGATAATTGTTGACAATAGATTAATAACTAATATATATTATGTGTCTATCTAATAAAAATAGTTACTTGCCCTGGGTGAGAATTTTGCAAATCTATTCATTTTTTTAAAGTATCAAGCAGGAAAACCTCAAACAAGAAAGTGCTGAAAAAGAGAAGCAGCAGCAAGGCGATAGAATTATGTACATTTATTGCATCTCTGTCTTAGGACCGTTGCAGGCAATATGCTATACTTGTTTCTTGTCTTGCAGCAACTCTATGCAGCTCAGCTGGCCAGCATGCAGGTTTCTCCTGGAGCCAAGATGCCTTCTACTCCCCAGGCACCGAACACGACAGGGGCACTCTCACCTACTGGGATGAAAAACGAAAAGCGAGGGACCAGCCCTATAACACAAGTGAAGGTATTTTTCGATGGAAACAAAATTAGTGTTTGAAAGAGGTGGTGCAATTAGCAGCGCGACACTGTCCACATATTTATTTTAACAGTAGGAAGTCCAACCATATGAAAGCTCATTCCCAAATGAAATACTCCTCTTCAGTGGTATGCTGTCAGCATGGAGAATGGAAGAGCAGGTGTTCACTCCTTGGAAACAAGAATATTAGGCATTCCCATTCATCTCTATATCCAGTACTGAAAATTCATCCCTAAAATTCAGTATCTTCAGGAATTCAGTTTTTAATTTGATAATGTGTATAAATAGCATCTATTTTATTACGTGATTTCAAATAAAGCACGAAATGCAACCTATGCCTCAGAAAGCTGGTGCTAACTTACATTGTGAGGGCCAGAGGGACCGTAGCCCTTCTAATTATTTCACAAATCCCAGGCTGCGCCTTTTACACAACTTTGGAAAAAGCCTCACATAAAAATAAAATGTAAATCAGGGCTCCAGGGAGAAAAACTGTGTCACTGCAGATTGATTTGCCTCTTGTTGATTTCACACAGCTGCCGACGACGAGGCTGTTCCTTGTCGGTTTTGCGCCATTGCTGAATGCTTGTGCCTGCTTATTCTCACTTGCTTGGAATGAGGCAGCTACAACGTGGCACTTGGCAGCAGCTTGAAATGAACATGATGCACCCCTCCAACTTTGTGCTGCAGCTGGTACCTGTGGGTGGTACCAAGTTGCCTTTATTGCTGTGTTTTGCTGTGGTTGTATTGGATTTCACGATGCCAGACAGGTTGGGAAACAAATTGCTTCAAACTACAAAACTCTTAGTTTGTGGGAAAATGTTTGGACATGCTATTGATTTGAACAACTAGTACGACAAATATAAAGACACTAAACTGAGCTATGGAAGACACACACTGGTTTTCCACAAGAAAAAAAAAACATTCTTTGAGAATAACAAAAAAATCCTATAGACCCACAATCATGTCTCAAATCATGCTGGGAGGATTCTACTCATTTGGGGTGAGAATTTTATTTTATTTTATTTTATTTTTTTGACAGGTGAGTAAAAATTCATTATCATCAGTCATCATGGTAAAGTGCGGGCGAGTAGATATTTCTGCCTGGGCTGATAAATTTCCACTACACTTTTGTGCTATGTTGAGAGTACTAATAAACAAAAATTATTCCATTATGGACAGATCCAGCATTTGTTTAGCGTTCACTTTACTTAACTGTGGATACATATTAGTCTAATATTTTACCTCTCAGAATGCAGTGCTGTGCTGCAGAGCCGTTAGTGAGATTTACCACATACGTTGAGTTTCTAGAGGTTGATGCAGAAGCAGCCAAAAGTAGAGGCAAAATGTTTAAGCAAAGTTGCTATAGTATAGTGATACCAAACACCAGTGATTTAGGGGATTGAGTATATGCTATTGAGTGCATTAATGTGAAAAAGTAATTTTATAAGTGAATGAGCCAAATGGATCTACACCAAACCAAACTGTTACTGGATGAGCAAAATTTTCCCTGGTTAAATTTAAACACATATCTGCTTGAACTAAAGCCAATACCATTCCAGCTTCGTTGGCCAGCTGAGTTCTATTACTGACTTGACCACATGCAAATTCTTGGGGGTTTCCCTACATAATTCTACTTGAATGGACTGCAGTATATGTTAATAAAAATCTTTTTATACTTATTTTATTAAGCACACTATTGTATTGAAAATATTAGAGATCAATTACAAGTTTTTCATGTAGAGAAGTATGATGGGTTATCATAAAATAAAATTAATTAATAATATAAAAACACTCCAATAAAGTAGTACTAGAGTGCTCTCTTTGAGAATTCTGTTACCCATACAGTGCAGAGCAGTTTTAATTGTCATGCATTTCTTAATAAACCATACATTATTTCTTTGTGTTTAGCCATCTGTTGGTACAACATACATGCACTGGTTCTTAATAGAGCTAACAGAATTATTTTATAGGAGTCAACATTTTCAAAAAAAGAATGTTGGGATTTCACATCAGTGTCCAGAAAGCTTTCCCACCTTACAGCTATTTCATATCAATGATGAAGTCTGATATGGAGGAACAAACAAAAAGGTTCTGGAGGTGTTCAAAAGCAATGAATTTTCATTTGTCACAGGATTGTTACTGCTAGTCACAAAGTTATTTGACCATTGAGCATGTTAGCATAGGCATTTGTGTGCGTACAGTCATAATCCTTCATCCTGCAAGCAGCTTAGCCCAGGATGAGCCCGGGGTCCACATGGAACCCTGTTGAAGTCACCAGGGCTCTGCAGGGTTACACAGCTTGCTGTATAATGGCCACAAAGCACATGAACATACTAAGGCCCTTACCCTGCAGTTGGATCTGTGCAGGCAACCCCCTGCATTCCTGCAGAGCTCCCTTGGCTTCAGTTGGGCTCTCCACGGATACGTGTGTCTGCCTGCATTGCAAAGTCAGGGACTGTGTTTGCAATTAACAACTAATATAGGGGAGAAAATATATCCTGCAATTTTACAGAAATCATATAAACTTTGGAGATGTTAAGGTATTATAAATAAGCACCTATTTATTATGTTGGCATATTGAATGTGTTATATATGAGTAGATTACTTTGCTGAATCATTACCTGCTAGTAAGGAGAATGGGAAAAATGAGATAAAACAGTTTATTATTGTTTTCTGTCACAGATTTCTAAACTTCGCAGTATTCAGTTCTGTCTTCTAAAATATAGACTATGTAACCTTACATCCAGCATATTTTAGCTTTGTGTGTATTTTAAATGAGAGAGCTCTTTATTTGGCTCTTTCATTTTAATTACAGAAAATCAGCATTCTGTTTTTAGAATGCTCTGACTTGCTGGCTGCTTAACAAGTTAAGCAAAGGGGACATGCCCTAAAAATGGGGAGAGGATGGCCATGTGAATGGTGGATCTTGATAAAAAAAAAGAGTTACTTAGATTCTCCCTCTTCCCAAAGTTAGACGTGTTAAAATTGGACTCATTCTCCCATATCACTGACATAAAATGTATGTCAAAGAGTGTGAATGTCTTCCATAGTTATCTGGCTACAGAGCTATGTATGTCTATACCAAATTAACACATTTAGACATTTTCCCCATCTTCATGTTGCTTCCATACTGCAAATTAAAGATATACACACAATAGTGTTTGAACTTGGTAGAAATGATTACAAAAGCATCGCCTGACCACTATGTTCTGTTTCATGTACATGAAATGTAATATTTAATTCTACATAAAATGTGGCAAAAAATGATGTGTGACAGTGGAATTATAAAATGAAATTGTAGAAAATGCTGTATATTTTAAGTTCTGAATAGTGTGCATAGATGATTGCAGTGCATTTACATTCACTGCAAAACTTCTTTTTTAATGATAGGAAGAGAGCATAGATTAATATCCCGTGCAGAGTGTGCACCCAAAAAAATATATGTGAAAGGTGTGCAGCAATGGCAGTGTTATCGGTGTATGGGCCAAAAATGTAAAAGAGGGCTCTTAATATTTCCCTGAATCAGTGATATTTGTTTAATTTCTAATACATGAAAAAATAAACTACATAGCTTATTTATAGTTCCAGGAACTTTTCAAACAGAACCAGCACAAAAGCACTACTGAGCTGCTGGAAATTTTAAATAATTCTTTGTAAATGCCCTAGGTTAATTTAGATCTCTGAAAACACATTAGGAAATTAAGCTGTAATGTGAGCTAATTCAAATTTTAATTTGGCAAAAAGAATGATCCAGCCACACAGTTAATGTAAATAGAAGCATAACACAGAGAAATTAATGAGGTTTCCTTTCGTTGAATCTTCAAGGAGGCAGATAATTAGCTTCTTTTGTTATTATTGCAGGAGAATGTGGCATTGTCTCGGAGGTGTAAAATGACTGTGTCTTACTAAGTGATAATGTGTTTCATTTGTCTTTTTCTAATAATTATTTACATTAAACTCTTGTAGGATGAAGCAGCGCAGCCACTGAATCTCTCAGCCCGACCCAAAACAGCTGAACCTGTCAAATCCCCGACGTCACCGACGCAGAACCTCTTCCCAGCTAGTAAAACCAGTCCAGTGAATGTGCCAAATAAAAGTGGCATCCCGAGCCCTATCGGAGGGACATTGGGAAGAGGATCCTCCTTAGGTAAACCCACAAGTTAGAAGGGAAATAACTGCTGATTTCAAAAAGGGAAAGGATATGTAGTAATATCAATTTTGTGTGAATAATGAAGATTCCCCCGCTCCCAACATTAATTGTGTGTATAAGTACAAGGCTCAATTTTCAAACTTGGCTTCTGGATTTGGCAACAAATGAGCATATGAATGAATACAATAGCCAGTTTGAGTGCCTTACTTGGATTTAAAAACGTGGTGGCTCATACATGAGCTCAATCCAATGGGATTACTCAGGTGTTTTAAATTAAGCATGTTCTTAAAGTGCTTTGCAGCATTAGGGCCAGAGTGCTAAGCACCTTCAAGAATCGGACCCATGTATATTTACAGTAAACTGTTTTAGAAGCTCAGGCAAGTAGATAGCTTGACTTGATTTTCCTTGCCTGAATATGCCTGTTAGACTTACTCAGAATAGTGTTCCTAAAGAAATATAATCTTCTATCATTTAAAGTTTCAGCAACCCATGAACCAGTGGTGTCCTAGATATGCAGTATCCTTGCACCAAGATCTTATTCTGAATATGCTGAAAATTTTTTTGAGGTAGAAAAACAGGAGAGTTTCTGTTCAGACAGTTCAAATCTCTTTATTATTCATTGCTCACAAATGTTCATATTTCCAGGTTTTGTACATTCTAATGTTTGCGGACGGGGAATTTTTGACCTATATGCAAGATTCACAAATGAAAAATGTTTGGGGGGCGAAAGTAGTTTATAAAGGTTACATCATCCCGTCAAGGAACAGAATTCTCATAATTTAACTGTGGACTGAATATTTACGACAAACTGGTTGTTCACAATCCGTACCTCAGATATACTTGTAAAATACATGTAAACACTTGCAAATAATAAACAAATTTGTAAAAGTTATGATGTGTTCCAGACAACTTCACAATCCCATGGGGAATGTTTCCTGAAATATAGTTTCTGCAGCTTCCTAGATGTCATTTGGTCTTTCTGTCATGTTATTTCTAAGTGGCCCTACTATTGTTGTATCTAACACTACAGGACAGCAGGTAGGTTTGAAGCCAGACTACTAATGGCATTTTTAGAGACAGATAGAGAACAAAAGTGGCAGAGGATGAGGCTATTTTCAATTAAAAGTTAAACGACACAAACGTTGTGTGCTTTCTTCCCCCGTCTAAAAGTAGAAGAGGAGCTACGATGAGATGTGGTAAAATGTTCAATTTCTCCCAGCAGACTTAGGAGCCTGTGTCCCATTTTCAAAATCACTTGGGGCCAGATTTTTAAAACCAATGGGACTTTGGCACCCGTGGGTATGTGTACACTGGGGAAAAAAAACCCAAAACGTGGCAACAGCAAGTCTCAGAACTCGGGTCTACAGACTCAGGCATGTGGGGCGTACTATGGTGCTAAACATGGCTCCATACACATTCCAGCTTGGACTGGAGCTCAGGGTCTGAAGCACACCCCAATCCCTGGATTCAAAGTCCAAACTCCAGTCTGAGCCAGAACATCTAGATGACTATTTTTAGTGCTTTAGCGTGAGTCCCACAAGCCCAAGTCTGTAGACCTGGGCACTGAGATTTGCTGCCACAGGTTGGCTGGTTGGTTTGTTTTTGCAGGGTAGACATACTACAAGGTACTTAGGAGCTTTTGAGAATTTTGCTCAGGGGGAACATAGATTGAGTTCTATTGTGGCACTGTTTTAGAGAGGAGCACCTCAGTTATGCTAAAAACCAGTATGTGTAATCCCTAAAACCTTGTGTAGGCTACAGTGTTAAATCAATTATTCCTTACTCAAGGTAAAGTCGGAGATGCTAACCTTTTACTTTTTTTAAATCCGCATGCTGTTGGGCCAAATCTTGCACTCAACAGAATTGACGTCAATAAGAATTTTCTTCTGAGGACAAATTCTAACATTGTCTCATTTATATATTTTACAATATATATATTTTGTGTAATTAAGTTCACAAGCCTAGCAAACTTAGAGCGTTTAAATAAAGGACAGACATTTTTGCTTGTCATGCAGGATTCCCCAAGAATTCCTAGCTGTAGTGCGTGCGTGTGCGTGTGTGTGTATACACACATACACACATCTCTGTATTGTATAATGTACATTCACATGCAGAAACAGCAGGTGGATCAAGTTAAAGCTTCACCACAGCAGCCTGAAACTACCAGTCACTGAATAATTGCTGTCTTTTGGTCTAAAATTAGAAAGCCTTATCCACAGTACTAATTTTTACCTACAATAAAATGCCTTTTACCGAGGAACGATAGTTTGTTTAATGCTTGAAGATTTTTTTTTCAATCTCTGCTACATGTAGCAGAAAGAAAAGAAATATTTTGTCTCAGTAATTTACAGCTTTGAGCTCCTGTTAATGTGATAACTTGCCTACCACCACACGCTAATTGCTGTATACAATTTCTGGATTTCAAAGCGCAGTACAGGGAGTGACATTTATCCCATAACAAAGAAACATATATATTTCTATAGCCAACTGAGCAAGGTTACTTCCTGTTCGTTTTTTGCTCTTATCGTTTCAAAGATTTCTCATTTGGGTCCAGATCCAGCAAAGTATTAAGCACTTGCTTAACTTTAAGCATATGAGTTGTCTCATAGAGGTCGGTGCTTGTTTGCTGAGCTATGTTGTGTACTAAGTAGTCACATTTGTAATGGCACAAAGAAGGGCCACTCTTATACGTAAGTACTGCATGTTAATTCAACCATCTAATGCAGTTGTTTTCAGGCAGCCGCAGACTATGCCTAAGATTTCCAAAAGCACCTCCATTCAAAATATTTCAGGGTCTGCAAATGAAAAAATGTTGAAAACCACTGGTCTAAAGAGAAGATTATCATTACTACTACTACTACAGAGATTAATCAGGTGCCACTCTAACAGGATGAAAGTTGACTGCACAGCCGAGAATCTAATCTGAATGGTTGTCTTAATTAGGTATGTTCTGTATTTGTAGATATCCTTTCCAGTCTTAACTCACCTGCCCTATTTGGGGACCAGGACACAGTCATGAAAGCCATACAGGAGGCTCGAAAGATGAGAGAGCAGATCCAGAGGGAGCAGCAGCAGCAGCAGCCGCCTCATGGTGTCGATGTAAAACTGCCCTCTATGAATAACATGGGTCTAAACAACTGCAGGAATGAAAAGGTATGCATAAATATTACTGAAACAGATGCATATGCACCATTTCCTGTGTATATTCTTAATCTGACCTCAAAATGTAAGAATCTGTGAATCTGTACATAACAAATTAACTGGTTAGAATAACAAGTTAACTGGTTGGAATTAAGGTTGTGAGTGGCTATTAGATTGAGTTGTGCATTGAAGATGATAGTGTTGGTTAAAATGACTGTGTTACAGAGGGTTTTAGTGTATTGGTGTAGTTGAGTATCGTGATGGTATAATGTATACAAATGTGCTTATAGTTTACAAGTAGAAAACTGGAGGATGCAGTACAAAAGGATGGACAAAGCAACAGGGAAAGCATTGCATTAAGTACAATAGCATTCAGTCAGGCATGTTAGCAATCAGGCTTCACATGATCTGCAGAAGGGTCAGGAGGGATGCCCCCATCCTATTCACTTTAGGAGGTGCACAAAAGAAGAGTTCTCCAGAATTTAGGAAATCTTCAGGAGAACAGCCCTGCTCTATGGACTTGCCAAGGTCCCAGAGATCTGCTCCAGGAACGGGTCGCTCTTATATAGCTGAACTGGCAAACCACTGAATCATGTAATTGGCTGAGCTGTAGGGCAGCCCTTTTGATGAAGAATGCTTTCTCAGTTGTCTTCCCAAGAGTGACTTATCCTGCAAAAATACATCACATAAGCTATTTCCCACCAAAAGTAATTGACACAAAATCAGTTGTATGCCACAATATTGGCTGTAAATTTCATTTAGCAACAAATGGGAAAATATTCTACAGGAAACATTGTGGCATAAATAGAAACAGTTATGACTCAATTATTAAATTACACAAAATTAACATCTTAATACATTTTAAAAGCAGCCCATGTTTTAAATTTTGGAATTTCTTTGCTGGAGAACTCTTTTTTTTTTTTAAAGAAAGGTAGATTTTAATGGTTCTAACTCATAAATGAAGTACAAAATTTACCTGGAAATTCTCAAAATATTCATACAATATTTAGAGTGTCAGTGCTGTGTGTTTGGAGAAGTTATACTATACTGTTCATATCTAAAAAAGAAATTTAATACCTTTTTAAGTATAAATCTCAACACAACAGTAACTATATATAAAGCCTCCATAATATTTTGCTTATATGATGATCTTATCTAAACACACAAGAGATCCATCAGTGAGCCAGGAGACCATAGCAGAAAGGGAATGAAACATTGTAAACAGCACTGTTGAAGACAAGATGTCTTTTAATCTACATTTTATATTTTAACTTAATAAGATCTCTACATTACCCAAAACAGTAAGGGAAAGGGTCAGTGCCTGTTAAAGGGATTTCTTTAACCTCTTTCCCCATAGGATTAGCAATGGTTTGCAAAATAAATTCAGAGCCTAATAAATATTTATTTCTATTAGGTTTGGTTTAAATGACAGCATTTTAAAACTCATTTAATACAGATTAATGCTATGAAAGAAAGTCTGTAACAGGGAAATTAAATAACTGATCCAGCAGTCCTTATTCAGGCAAAATTCTAATTAAAGTCAATTGGAATCCTAATTGAGTCCAAACTATAAGATTGGACACACAAAAAGTCACACCTGCTATGCTTTTTTTTTTTTAATGTAAATGTACTTTACAAATGACTACCATGAGTGTCATTGGATCAATATTTGAAAATATTTAAAACACAAAAAGGAAGAGTAAAGTGATTCTTAAATTTTTTTTCTACTTTGTAAAATGTGTGTGTATAAAAGGCACCTACTTGCTCTACCAAGTCTGCTCCTTGGGTGATTTTAGAACCATACCAGCTTCCTGTATTGCCTACAATAACTTTTATTTCCTCTTATGTCTCTTAGCAGAGCCAATAAAACTTTGGGAGAATCAGCTGGAATCTCTTCCTTCATGTGTATTGTCAACAACATTGTTAACTAAGTTTAAATCGCAGAATCTTTCTTGTTCATGATGCATAAGGTGAAAGAACCCAGGTTGAGCTTGCATGACTGCCCATTAGAAAAATCATCTCTATGCTTCTAAACTGATCAGAGCAGATGTGGAAATCACGGAAAGAGTATAACCCTGGAACCCACAATGCCGTTTTTACACAGAGACATTTCAGAGTTAACTGTGCTGTTTAAGGCTCTGACAACAAAATTACAGCAAGGAGATTTATCGTGAAAACTCACCATCATCCTGTTGTTTTTATTTATTATAGTATAAGCCACAGAGTGAAGCAATAAGACAAGACAAGGATTGTACTGGGATATTACTGCCACACCTCTGATATGTTGTTAGTCCCTTGGTTTTGTACCACAACTATAAAGTAGTGCAAATATTCAAATACAATGGGATACAAATTGGCCCTTTAAAATTATGGTATCTCTCCACCTCCGCCCCCCCAAAATAATGAAAAAAATTGTATTTTTAAGAGTAGTAAATCTTATGGAAGAAGTGTACATACTTTGTATAAAATGCAAAATAGATCTATACAATACATTTAAAACAAAAACCATACTTTTGTTCAAATATCATTACAGAAAGGTATGTTTTTCCACTCTGGATATTTATAAGCACTCCCTTTTCATTATTTCTGTTTGAATGATAATTTCCTTTTACTTAATATTTTATGTTAAAAACTATTCTTTATCTGTGGCACAGAGAGAAGATTTTTCATGATCCCAGCAGAGCCTTGAAATCATAGCTACCTTTTTGGATTTGCTTCTTCTAAAAGGATCAGGTCCTTATGTCCATCTTTTAGTGCCACATTTTAAAAAATAGCCTCCAGATAATTAGACGCTGCTCATGTGAATGAGTAACAAGAGTCTAACATCAGAAAGTGATGACAAGCTAATTGCCTGCACCTTAGCCTGAAAAAAAGTGATTGAGTTCTGGTCAGTTACTGGTCCTTGAGTTCAGAGAACTGGTAACAGTTTGTTGTGCAAAACTATTATGCCTACAACATTATGCACAAAACTTCAAAGCCTGGGTTGATGCCTTTTTGAAAATGTCATTTTAAGGCTCTAAATGTTTTTGTATTGGTTATAAACATATATATTTGAAAATTGCCCCATTCCCATTTTAAAACCCCCCAGAAAGCTTTAAAGTGCTCACAGGGGCTTGGTCATCAGAAAGAGCAAAATAAATTGATGACAGTGAGTTGGAATGATGCATTTTTATGATTCTCTTGAGAGTTGTGGGTCAGCTACAATTTTAAATTGACACCATTCTATGTGCATAGAGATTTATAGAGCTTAAAGCGTAAATTGGTTATTAAGCAAAGCCAAATTTCTCGACCTTACCTGATGCTGTTCAGCTGTAGGCCAACATCATGAAAGGAAGAGAGAATAGCATTAGTGCTGTTATGGGAGAAGTGGAAGGGGAGCTGACCCAGTTCAGGAAACTGCTGGGAAAGTGGAGAGATCCAGAAGAGTTCAGAAATGGCCTCACAAAGCATCTTTTGTGTGGCTGGAGTCACAGAAGGTTGGCTCTGTATGGGGGGAATAGCTCTTTTCTAGGCAAGTCATGTTCATCTTTAAAAGAAATTTGTAAATTAAGGTACTATAACAAAACATGCATTATTGGTATTAGTCCTATTTAGTTTAGTATTTAAATCCAGGATAATTGACTAAATGTTGACTAATGGTTCGATCTGACAATATTCTAAATGACCCCAAAAGATGCTGTATTGTCTATTTTGTTTATATTTAAAAGGCCAAATTCAAGTCTGGCCAGTATACAGGCAGAAGCATGAGTTATCTGCACTGGATAGAGGTATATGGGTGAAGGTCGCAGAACATACATGGTAAATATACACATCATATCTTCTACACCCTGTCACAGGAAGGTATCTTCTATATCCTTACAGAAAACCTATGACGTGACCTCATCAAGCTTTTAGAGGAACCAGAATCTTGCATAATATGTCTATGCCATATGCCCCCTCCCCACCACTTTGTAGGGTTTCAGGCATAAGCACATGTGCGGTTGGAAACCAAAATTAGGCCCAAAAATGTATGACATGATTTGCTCACTCCTTCCATGAACTTCAATAGGAGCTGCAGATGCTCAGCCCCTCTGAAAAGCAGTCCATAAATCCTTAGACAACTGTGGAGACCTATACATGTTTTTATGTTACCCTTATTTCAAATGAAAAAAAGATTAAACCCACTTCATTTATCCTAATGTAGACATAATGGCTTGTATGCAAAATATAGTCTGTACTTCTTTAAAATATGCATTATTTACCCTTGGAGTTGTTTACAGTCTATTGGTCAAAGCCATATTTAGGCACTCGGAGTTGACTTGATAAGCCATAACGGCCCCTTTGGAAGTGTTACGGTCTGCTGTAATGCAGAGTATTTAGGGACTGTTAAATATATGGATTATTGACACAATAGAGTGTAACAGCTCCTCTGGAGTTGTTACGCTCCATCATTTACATGTGGCCACTGCACATGTGCACAAAGTTTGCCTGATAGAAACACTTCAGGAAGGTTTTGTAGAAAAGCATTACCATTCACGCATAGTCATTTTTTCCCCTAAATGAGAAAAACTTACTATTATTATTAAGAAAAACCTTATTATTTTCCCTAAATACCTAGAGCCCTGCAAATCCACGGATATCTACTTTATATATCTGTGGACCATTTTTGCAGATTGCAGATGGATACAGATCCAAATTTTATATCTAAAGCCCTGCAAATCTGCAGATATCTGCAGATCAGTTTTGAGGATCGGATGCAAATACAAATTTTGTATCCGCGCAGGGTTCTATAAATACCCAAAGTACAACACCATATTATCCATTAATTGTTTGATCAATTTTGTTATTATAGCCATAATAATTGTAATGGCGGAGTGAGTTCCTACATCTTTTCTGTTCAAGCACTATGTGGTTCAAAGGCCAACACCAAGCCTTCTCTGCTACCAGTTATTCTCTGAACTCAATGACTAGTAATTGAATAGGAGAACTCAGTCAGAACAATATTTTTTTCAGACCAAGCTGCAGGCAATCAG